TGATTTGTCTTCCAGCGGCACTCAAGTGTCTCACGGTCATACTTCGGGAATATCTAATAACGAAGAACTTTATGAAGTAACGGGATTGAGTGGATCTGACGTGAGTCAAACTAATCAAAATCTTCCCAGCAGCTACGGAATTTCCAGTCTCGATCGACTACCAAACAACGAGCACTCGTATAACGACCTGTCCTCCAGCGCTAATGTCGCTGAGGACTTTAGAGCACCTTTACACATAGAACCTTCTGGAAACATTGGAGATTCAATAAATTTTGAGGAGTCACCGTTGCTAGATTTCACGCAGAAGGATGAAAGTCGGACGCACTCGTCCTCGATACCGACGACCTCTAACTCGTTCGCGGACTTTCAGAGTACTAAGATTACCGGGACAACTGTAGCATTTGGCGATGAGATTTTCGGAACACGTCAAGGCATCGCTTCAACGGAACCTTACCCTCCTACGGATTATATCGAGATAATTGATACCGTGGCAAAAGAATCTAAAATCAATAATAACATAACTCAAGGTATGAAAAATATTCGAGAACAAGATGTTTCGCAATCTGATAAAGAAGAAGATCTATAGTCAATTGTTTTTTTATTTCAATAGGTACAAATGGAAAACCACCTCGGAATCAGTTAAATGATGATGTAGCGGAAGAATCATTCAGTGACATTAATGTTAATTTGGATGAAACATCTAGGCAGCAAGGTGCAACAAGGAATAAACAGGTGATAAGATCGTGTTACTTGAGCAGAAAAATACATCTTCAAAGAGAAACTATCCTAACTTATCGTAAACTGTAATTCTGTTAAAAAATTTTTAGGTGCAACTCATCATTCCCTATACATCGGAATACACACCACTTCCATTCCATCCATCGCATGAAAGAAACACTGACACCAGTGAATCCAATCATGACAGTTATGTCGGCGAAGAATCAAGAAACAGAATTGAAGTGATTAGTCCTCCAAATTCGTCATACATTTTTCAATCTTTAGATTCTTTACCGAAGATATTTGACAATGCTAAAAAATCAGTTGATGCTAAAACGAACAATTCCATAGATGTAATACATAAACTGCAAAAGAATATTGACAATTGGACGATACAGGTATGTGTTTTTTAAAAATGCGTATTTATAAATAAATTAGAGAAGTTATGAACAGAACCTTTGAAGAAACGATAGAGTTGATTATTATCAATGCCGAAAATTTCAATGTGCGTGCGCGCGCGCGCTGATCTAGTATATTTATAGTAAATGATAATAATAATAATAATCATTACTTGTATTTAATTTAGGAATATTCAAAGGCCACAACCGTTAGTCCAGTATGGCTTAAATCGAGCAATCCATACCTTTTTCCTTCAAAAAAGATCCCTACCGAGTATTTCATGACCACTAAGCCCGTTAATTATGTAGCTGATTCTCACAACGATAATAATAAGATTCTTACTTTGAGTGGATTCAGCTTCAATGATGAAAACTATAAACGATCGGGCAGCAATGTGAAAGAATCGCGAGTACGAATAATTAATAAGAGTTTCAAAGACACATATTAATGTTATAAGAAATAACTTATACCTTATTTTCTTTTCATATTTTGCATTTAAGGTAATACAAACTGACAAGTCGACTGGAAGTTTTATTGATGCTTCCACCGAGGATTTATGGCAAGCCTTTCCCATAGGAATTTCTTCAGTGAACAGAGAACGCGTTCATATAGTAACGCCTCTGTCAACTGTAACTACTCCTAGATTAAATCCCGAATACAGACAAGAGAAGGTGTTGAAAGAAGCAGAAAGAAACAGGAAGGAATCGAAGAAAACTTCGCAAACAGATACAGAAATAACGCAAAAGTCCGATATATTCGAGTCAATCGAAAAAGCTTATCAAGTGCTGCCTCAGGCTGTGAACAATTTAGCTGTGGCTTCCACAGGTCCAGAGAGCATTCCTTTGTGGGGCATCATGGAACACGAGGAGTTTACGTCGCCTGTCGATAATGAATATGATAACAATGATACTGAACCTCCTACGCCGCACTCTAAACTTTCGAAGGCACGTATGATTATTGAGTTAACGTTTATATAACTAAAATTGTTTAATGAACTTCTGTTTTAATTTACTTTTTATTTTATGAAATTATATCTTCAATGTATTATAATATAATATTTTACAAGCTTTAGCGAGAAAGTTTCTAATATACTCTTAAGAACGAAATATAATTCGCATACGTTATATACGTTTTTAAAAAGTTTTAAAATTTATATGTTTTTAATTTCTTCAATATTTAATAAATAAGCATGTAATATAAAAATTTCTATTAATAGAGAAGTTCAATTTAATGCTGTACTTTTCGAATATTATTAAAAAGCATTCTAAAAGTATATTTTTAAAATATAATATTTTTACAATTAAAATATTACACAAATATAATTTTATTTATTGAAAAAAAATATAAAACTTTAAAATAATGTTTAATGTTATTTTTTAAAAATATTTTTGTAGGAGTCGCGTGCCAGACGATGACGTATCAAGTGTAGAAAATGCTCAAGATGATTATTTGTGCATGTGCAGACTATTTTGCTAGTGTGTTTCCATGAACGATGTGAGCGATTGTAAATAGTTGCGTTAAAATAATAGTCCTTGACCTCATTCTCTCAGACGAACTATTTAATTTAATGGTATTTAATACAAACGGGTGAATGTTTCAATTCTATGTACATGCGTAAGTGATTATTGTGGCCAGTGCACCGGATAAATGTATTTTATAGTCCGGACGTATGTATTTTTTTTTAAGTTTTATTATAAGTCTTTTTTATACGTTTAATAATAAGATGGAAAACTATAAGAAACTATAAAAGAGACAACATGGTATATATTTGCATTATGTTGTGACTTGCGACTTACAAAATTGTCCATCATTGAAATTATTGTTAATAAACATTTTAAATATAAAATATGAATTTTGTATACATAGATAAGCTTGATTGTCATAATTTCATTTATCTTAAAGAATTTATGCAATCATTTTGCATTTAAACCAATACTTGAATAGTGAAATGTTTTATTTTTGCAATTATATGTATATGTATTTTATACATATATAAAGCACACATACACATATATTACATTTTTTTACATTAAATTTTCGTGTTAACCATTTTACATTTTGAATATTTTGAAATGAAAACAATTTGCATAAAATTTCTAAGTTTTAAAAGATTTGCATACAACTTTTCTTAAGTTTTAAAAAAATGACGTCCGATTTTAATGAAAAGGCTTTTTGTTGTAAAAAAAATATGTCTTTTAACGGAAAGAAGATTGATGATTGTTCATAATATACGTGTATTGATTAATCAGACTAATCCGAGCTACGTGAACTGGATTTTAAGAGATGTCGATTCTCAGAGCATTTTTGTCAATTCTGTAAGCCAGATCTGAATCAAATCTAAACCAATTTAGAATCAATCTTTTCAGAATCAAATTTAAACTAGTTTAGAATTAATTTTCTTAGAGCCTATCATGAATATTAATTAACTTTCTAAAGAAGAAACTTTCCTCGTTTTCAATCATAATCTATTTGACGCTAAAGGAATTAATTTTGGCGCGACATAAAAAACAATGAGGAATAATAAATATAAAAAATAGATAGCAAATAATCAATAGTGAATAATGGATGACTTAATATTTCGCATATTTAAAACAGTTAATATAAATTTATATTTTGTTGTCTAACAAATTAGGAAAATGTTTCTAACTTTTATCGTGTTATATATTTTTCTATACAATACTATATTTATAATAATTAATATATTAATCATACTTACGTGATGTGATGAATGATTTAAAGCGTTTTATTATTTCGATTTCAGAAAACTGCAGGTGTGGTTGTTTTGAAATCCTGTCGCGTTTGTACGTTATTTGAATTCACCTTTTATGCATTTGCCAACCACATTCGATTACTTTCGCCGATTTCGTAAAGTTGGACGTTTGCCAAGAAGTGTCACGACTATCTAATGATGTATGAGTATTGCTGCATTTAAATATACACTCGTACGTGATACGCTTATATGCATATCGCGTAAGTCAGTTTTTTTTCAATTCAATTGTACCGTGAAATGGGACTTTGTGTCGCGAATTCCGAGCTTGTCTTTTCATTCATCAGCAAAATCGTATGGAAAAGTAATTCAACGTTATATTTCATATATCTGTAAATACTTAACAATATTTTATATTGTTAAATTACTATTGTATTAAAAATAATATTACCTCTTTTTCTATGCAATGGTTTGAAATAGGAAGTTATTTCGTTTTTTTTCTTTTCTTTTTTTACAATAGTATTAAAAATATGTTTAACAAAAATATTTAATAGATCTCTTAGTTTTCCTATATTTAGATTTTCCTTAACAGAAAAGAAATGAAATTACTTCCGTATACTCTTCAAGCTATTATACAGGAAAATTAGGTGATATCGTGCGCGTATATTACATTCGATGTCACGAAAATGGTGTTATACTTAATGAGCAAGAACTTGATACGAGAGAAAAAATGAAACTAACAGAGTCGAATAAATTAACTTGCTTGATGCAACAATATCTACAATTCATTGACCTTCGAACTTCCTTTTCAGGTCTCTTCAGGAAGATCACACGTTGCTTGTCGCAGCGAAACGTGAGAATTCCCGCCGGAAGATAGTGGGAAAAGATGTACCATTGTCTACAAGGTCTACCGCTGTTGTTTGCTTAAAGACTCCAATCGTGTCTGTAGAGGACTAACACTTTAATTAGATCCATTTCCATGGTAAATGGTATCGAACAAGGACACGACCTTAATTACGACCATGTTGACGGTCTAACATTGCCGCTTAGAGGAAACGCGGAAGAATTTTTAATTCCCTTTCATGATTTGTGAAATCGAAAATTATCGCGTATATAATCTTTTTCTCATGTACAAAGTATAATATATTTAGGACATATATTATTTACTAATCGTTTTTACCAACTTGTGTCCCTTTAGAAATGATTTATTTACAGAAACATAATTATATTCAGTTTAGTGTTAAGATGTTCCTGATTGCAATTTTTTTCGGTCGCATTTTCTTCGAATAAGTATCTCCACTGTCCAGATAAGCAGTGTAATAGCAGTCACGCAGTTGAGTAAGATAATACAAATCGTGTAATTTCCAGTATTATCTCGTATTACACCTGTAGCAAGTAGACTCTTTATTATTTAGGTTTTTCAACTTTTGACAAATTATATTCGAAGAACAAAAAAATGGCTGTATTTAACCATTTTATATATAATATTATTCACGTACCAAGTATGGGACCAGCACTCATGAGTATCATTCCGTTGGTCAGCATTTGAATTCCCGAGGCATTGGGTAACTTTTGAATAGGAACGTAACTAGGTACAACTAAAGCCATATATACCGATCGAATTCCTTTTGCCGCTCCCAAACCAATCGCAACGGCCATCATTGAAGCGGAATCATTCGCAAATAGCAATGCTGCGGTAAACAGTAATCAAAAATCGATCTATCGCTATATTAAAATTCTTGCTTTTCTTATTTTGTCAAAACTCAATAATTAAAGTTTGTCTCGGTAGTCTAAAGGCTTAGGACGCTCGCACGGAATGCAAGAGATTCGGGTTCGACTCCCGGCCGAGGCATTATTTTTCGCAATAAGTTTTATTACAGTTTTTAAGTTGGGGAATTTGGGGGGATTATTAATATTTTCAGATTTGATTGCGTTGAAAGTCCGACAACCATATCGGCACGCAATTATCATTTCTGAAATTAATTCATTTAAATGAATTTACAATAGTTCAACATCTTAACGTTCTGACCGTTATGGCGCTTCTTAATTTAAAAATTATTATGTTTAACATTAGCGGTCTTTCAATCTTATTATTGTCAATAATTAAAGATAATCGGTATACATTACAGCATCTGCCGATTATCAGAAGCAACAGGCTGAGCATGTACATCATCCTGGCTGACAGACGCCACCATTCGCCCAGGTAAGGTGCCGCGCCTCTGCTTATAAGATCTGCTATCGCGATGATACTCATGATGTCGGCAATTTTTGCTGTTGTTAAACCCATATCGGCGAGGATAAACGGTGTCAACATAGAGAAGTTTATTTCCGCGAAAATTGCGATTGACATCCCCAACATGATGTTCACATAAATCGGATCGCGTAAAAGATCAAAGTCGTAAAGATCAGCTATTCGTCGTAGAATTCGGTGAACGGACGAACTGCTTTTGCTACTGTAACGTGATTGTTATTTCACTTGTTATATCCAAAAATAGTATCTTATATATTTTATTAATTTTCATTTCATAATTATAATCATGTTGTAATCACGTATTTCTGTGATGCAGAAGATAATTTGACATTAATATTAATATTATTAACAAAATGAAAAAAAAAGAAATATACGTATCGTAGATATGTACTTTCATACTTACTCGTCATTATTTTCTTTGTTTGAATATTCATTCGTCTGTTTTTCCAATAGTGAATCCTTTTCTAGAACATTCTGACTTATATTATTATTTTTGCTTACATTATTATCGACATTATTATCAACAAAGGTCAATTTTTTCGTTAATAAAATAGGTTCGTCAAAAATTTTCATGCTGCTACCGAGATGAATACTATCTATACTTTTTGCTGTAAAAATAGGTACATTATTTCCATATTATTTAATTAGAAATTTGAATTTGTTTCTGATATCTGTTGCATTTGTAAGAATTAATCATAATATAATCTTCGTGACATAATTACATGAATTCCATAGATATTTTGAATCCCTGCAATTATCATGTATACTCGTTCTTGATGTTCTGTTAACTGATATTTCGATGTCGTAATTTGAACCATAAGATGCTGAAATGTATAATTTGTGTTTTTAGCGCCGCTTTTGTTCTAATTACTTATCAACTAGTTTACTTATTAATTAATAAGGCAATTAAGTCGGCTCGTACTTGTTCCGTCTGTAGAAATCTGTCGGGGTAAGGGCGTATCGAATCCATAAATGCTTCCAACTTCAAGATCATGGTTGATGCTAGATATTGTTGTTTTTCTTTTCCTCTCATAATTGTTTAATATCGGAGAGTATATATTCGTTTCATCTTCTTCATAATGATTCGGTGTAATGTCTGCAATTTCGAATTGTTGGTAAAATCGCTAAAAAATATATCAGGCATATGTTTTTAATTAACAAATACCTTTTTTATCATTATTATCAGTCAAAATCTTTTTATCATCATTATCAGTCAAAATCGTGGGATTTTCGATAACTGTCTCTAAGCAGATGGGCACTTTTATCATGTGCCATTTAACCGGTTGTAGCAGCATTGCGCCTATCATCGCGTGAAAACTGTAAGCGCCAAGTATCAAAACGGTTCCCTATTTAATGTTATACATATTTTTTATATATGTTTTTTATTTAATAAAATTTATAATAATTTTTGTTTTATAATTAGCAATTCATAAGCAGTTATAACTTTTGATAACTTTTCAAGAATTAAAGAAGTATTATACGTTTTGCTATAGTGAAATGTATTTCTTTAATCCTTGACTTATAAGGCATCTATAAATGCCTTATTGATGTTACAGATCGGCAATGCGTAGAGAGAAGATCATATAAGTTATAGATCGCAACCAGTAAGTATAAAATAAACAAACACCCATTGTCCGACCCACATAGATAAGCAGTTACTATTGATTTTTACGATCAGTAACATTCGTCGTAAATAAAGCCGCATTGGACGAGATGCCACTGGAGATATTTAAGTATATATATGTATATATACGTACATATACAAACTATATTTTCTATCCGGCAGAGTTAATTCTTCATATTCCAATATTTTTATTTTATATAATCATCTTCTACACATCAGGAATATTAAAGATCTATAAATTTCTTCAATCAGTTAAGTTTTTCGATTTGCTAAATTTTCTTTATCTTTTTATCAAAATTTTTACGATACCTGAACACCATAAAATGAAAGTAAAAAGGATGATATTTGAGGCATAATGATTGGACCCACCCCCATGATAGTCATACCCATGCCTATAGCTCGTCCTCGTTTCGTAGTAAAATAAGTATTGGTCGCTAAAGAGAATCCAGACAACGACATACCCATTCCAATGGCTGTATAGATAAACTTGATAATTAATTTATAACGCAAGTATACGCTTGTATTTAAGAAATTTGCAAAATGTGATGCACAAAATGGATAAAATTATATTTTAATAATGATCATTTCTTGTTTAATTTATTTACATAATAATGACTATTTGTTTATAATTATATATATAGTAACTAAAATAATATCTTATAATACTTTAGAATTATATAAAAAATATAATATTGTGTCTGCCAATAATTGCTATAAAACATTATTATAGTATACATTATTATAATATTTGACAAATAATTCTGTTTTACTTACAGGCTAATATTCCATAGCAAATCATAATAAGAGTAAAGGTGTTGGCGAATGCCGTCAATGTTACACCAACTGCATATATAATACTTCCAACCATCGCCACTTTTCTATATCCGTAGATCTTCAAGAGAGGCCCATTGATTAAGCCGAGTACCATACCAAATGCCAAATTTACATTAATTATAATTGACGTATCTGTTGCAGTTAGATTAAGTGCTGCAAAAGATTCTTTAAATATCAATCCGAATCCTTGTACAATCGGGATGGTAGATAGCTATAAAATTTTTATTTAAATTAATCTCAGTTTTCTACTCATGGCACAAATTTTAGTATTTTGATAAATTTTGTATCATGTTTCTGATAAAACGTTTATGATAACTTACGGCATTTAATGCTCCAGCTATAACAATAATCCATCCATATCCCCCATTTGGCGGCACTTTCGTAAACATTTTATAAGTTAATATAAAATTAAGTTATGAAATAATACTTAATATAAATAAAATTCAATATTAATTAATATTGAAAATAAATGTCACGTATAACACTAAAAATTCACGTTGTCAAATAAATATTTGCAAGGAGTCTTGTTCTTATACTTATTCACGTCCACTGCTGTTGGAATATTGTATTTTACTCAACAATTGCTTGCAAATAACACATTTTATTCACTAAAATGTTAGACTTGCATCTCTTAGATAAATCATTTCATAATATTACTGATTTTATGTAATCGTGACTTGCAATTTCTGATGATTTCAGTATGCGATTAATCTTATCTGCATCGATCGATACTGCGATTATTTGAATATGTTAACAATTCCATTCGGGAATTTACTATCTGTAATTTTAAATTACAATTGATCTTATTTTATTTATGATAAGTAAATAATTTTACAAAATTCTATGTACAAATATAATATTTTTCTTAAAAAATTTTGATAGATATATGTATATAATAAATTAAATTATATACATATATATATAAAATTAAATATATATAAATGAAAAATATATTATTCTTCTTTTCCTCTTTCTTTTTCTCTGTATTTCTTATTCTACTCTATTATAAAATATTACACAATATATAAACGTATACACAACGTATAAACTGTCATACAATTTACCATTTTTAAAAAATTAATTTAAAAATTTAACTGGTCTAGTAAATCGATTGTAGCACACACAGATAAGAGCACAAAATTTAACATATTGTTCTAATTCGATCATGTTGCGTCTCGCGGAATGATAAAGGCTACACTAACGTAGAATACTTTCATCAAAGATAAGAAAGCGTCTTAGCTTATTAGTTTCAGTTAATCTAATCTGATTATTTTCATTTGTAGACGTTAATATAGATTAATACAGACGTTCAATACAGATACAATTAGAGCATATATGAGAGAACATTGTTAGATTAAAATTGAGTAGAAAATATTTTTGCAAATATGCTATAAAATGAATATTATATTATACATATTATATCTATAACATAATTGTATATACATAATTGTAAACAATACATGGAAAAGAAAAACAATACACAGTTTTGTTGAAGTATCTAAAAATTTAGCTAGATACAAATCTGAAAATAATTTTGTTGTATTATCAAAATAATTATGCAAGACGATTAAACTAGTGGTTAGAACATCAAAACAGTATTGCTAGTTGTGCTTAAGATTTCTATATATTATTATATGTATGTGTGCAATGAGTTTATTAATCAATAATAATAATAAATAGACGTTTCGATCCTATTGCGGATCGTTCTCACATCAGTATCGCAAACAATCATTAGAATACAATTAAAAGTTAAAAGTTAAAATTATTGGTCATTCACTTAAAATTAAAAATCGAATTGTGCGATGTATGGCTGTGATGTAGACGAATGAGTTACGATGTCCAAGCGTTTATACATTATAATTGCCAAGTTAACTATGACATATTATTGCAACCGGATTAAACAGACGTATATAATAGGAAATAATTTGTAAATTATTAGACTTACATGATAAACGCAAAGACAAGTCGCTTAGAGAAAGTGTCAGTTCTATTTTTCGCTCTCATGTGACCGATGTAATAAAAAGCAAAACAATGTATAATGTGTTGACAAAGATGGTAAAGGATGGAAGCATCAAGTCCTTGTAATTAAATTAGAATATATAACGTCAAGAAATTTTGTATCATTTTTAATGTTTAAGTCGTTAATTTGTTTCTTAATGAAAATCATTTCAGACATCAATTTTTTATGTAAGAATTCCTCTTCATCTAAAATATCTATGGTATCCCAGTCGAAATCGTATGAGAAGTCAAGTCTGTGATCAATAATGACTGAATGTTGTGTCGTATTCCAATTAATGTGGTTTCGGTGTTCTTGAATGCGTGCTTTTAAGATTCTACCTGTTTGCCCCACATATGATGCATTACAATCTTTGCAGTTTATTCTATACATATACTACGTTTGAACGAGACAGAGTGGCATTATCATTATCTTGATTTATTCTTTGGAGACTGACAATTCTTTTATTATATAATCGATAACCTAATTAGCATGTCAACAGTATAATCTTACGCAAAGAGATCTTCTGTCCATTATTGTCAGTCTATGTGATCTTCATAATGTGTTTTCTGTGATTCATTGGCGTCCTATCTTATGATGTATCAAGTATGTATACAATTTATAGCATAGATAGACAGATAAATCACACTTTCCAATTCTATATATAATACAATTTATATATGTAAAAGTGTTAAAGTTTATTAAACTAAAATTTTTAATTATAATATGAATACCTGTGATTCCAATGTTAACAGAAATTTTGTTGGTCTTAAAAATAATAATGTAACGTTCCTTTTCGGTAGAACATTGGCGACTGATGTTATATCGTGCGGTTCTATTTGTTTGTGTAGTAATGAGCATATAATCATGTAGGAGATCTATTGTCCCCTACATGATTATATGCTCATTACCATACAAACAAATAGAATCACACGATATAACATCAGTCGTCAATGTTCTGTCGAAAAGAAAAGAATTAAAAATTTTAGTCTATGATTGTATCATATTAATAAATTATATCAGCAAATATCAACCAGCTGGGCTATAATAATTCTGATTTTGTATTCTATTGAATTTTATTTAACATAGCCAACAATATATTGTAATAAATATACATCTATAGGAAGATAATATACATTCATATTTATTATTATCATTTAACTGCTTTCTTAATTATCAATAATTAATTATCAAAATCTTACAGCTTTTGTAACGATATTACAAAAAAGTTATATTATGTTAGTCTTAGGTGCGTATTTTATATCTGGCAATAATCAAATTTTAATTTTTTATACTCTAATTAATAATAATACGTGTCACACAGAGTATTACAAATTTATCATATATCAATTACTTCAGTTTTATTACTATATGCATCTTTTTTATTATTACAACTAAAAATATTACAACTAAAAATTAGAAAAATTTTTCTTATTTTTATTGTACTAAAATACACATATAAAAATATGTAATAGACACAAATTTGTAACTTCAAGTACACTTAATGTGTAGTAATTAAATTCTTATCACATTAAATTCTCAGTATAACATATGTATACATATATTATAATACATGAACATTCTCTATATTTTATCAATGTTTCATATATGTACATTCATAAATTGAAAATATTAAACTGTTGCTAAATTAATCAATTACGTATTTTTGTGAAAATTTTATTGTTCCTCTGGTGCGGGGGGATTTTGCTCATTCAACGTATTTCTACGAAAAGCCCATAGTCCATCTATCAACCACAGGAAGACACAGGATAGGCTAAGAAAGGATGTGAAATAAAGCGCACCCACATAACTATTTGTTGAATCATGCACTAGACCTGAAAAAATATTTAATTAAAAATAAATAAGGTAAATAATAATAATGAAATAAGATAATAATAATATTGCTCTGTAAAATACTTTAATTATAATTGTATTAACATTTAAAAAAATTGCAGGCTGCTTTTATTGTATATTTAGAATTTCTCTTTACCGATAATTGGTCCTATGCTGATAGACAGGATGCCATTACAAACCATCTGAATACCGGATGCAGCCGGCAACCTCTCCAATGGTACGTAATCAGGAATGATTAGAGCTTGAAAGACAGCTTTGGTTCCCTTCGCCAATCCGATGATCAGGGCTACTCCGATTACAACGACGTAAGTATTACCCCATATCGATAGAACTGTCAAGAAACTAATATGAGAAATGATTTTATACAGAAGTTTACATAAAACGATAAAACATAGGAAATGTAAAGATCAATAAAAGTGCATATAAATGAATCCAGATAGATATAATATAATATTAATTAGATAATCAAATATAATGTTAAAAATATATTATAATATATCTACTAAAATATAGTATATTCAGATATATGTTACAATATAATTAACATTACGATTTCAATCGTGGTTTGATAATTATTATGATCAATGATTTGTAAATGTTGTCGATTGTCATATACGACATGCATTAATCATCTAATCAACCCACCCCAAAGATCACCTCGTGAAGAGATTCCTCGTGTTCGTATATTTTACGTGGCGGTACGTACTAGTCCTTCCAAAGGTTGATCCCAGCAGAGATAGCACATAAAGATTCCTGCAGGTCCAGCCAGTTTTTTGTGCCAACAACGGTACGCAAAGGCGCCCAGTAATGTCCGCGGCAGCTTGAATTGACATTACTGTAGCTATCGACGTTCTGTCGAGATTCGCCAATTCGGCTAGGACGAAAGGTATCGTTGCGTTGAAATTTGTTTCGGCCACCAACGAGATGCTCATACCTGTTTTTGAGATACGTATTATATGCATCTCTCAAGATTTTAATTTTATTTCGACAAGACTTCAATGAAATCAATTATTCATACTCTACCTAATACTATCGCTATATAACGATTATCACGAAGAAGATCGAGATCCATGTTTGTAACAATTTTTTTAAGAAACGAAGTTTGTCTATTTCTTTTCACTTCTGTTTCGCTATTGTCTGGACGATGGTTCGGTTCTCTTTCCTTTTCAGCATTCCTTTTATTTAATAATCGGCATTGAACAGCGTTATTTTCTACATTTGTCTCATCAATACATGAATTTTCCTCTTTCGGTATATTAGTAGTTTTGTCTATCAGAACACTCTGCTAAAAATGGAAAAAGAACGAGAGCCATTCAAATATAATTTACATCTCGCATATTGTTGATATAATAATAGACCGAAATATATAAAATGAAAAATGAAGAAGATATAGGTGTAAAATTATGCCATTGCTCACCTTTAACTCACCTCTTTCTGCTTTCCAAACGGTTTTAATAACGATGCACCAATTAGAGAATGTGAGGCGATTCCAGCAAGGGTCAGGAGAGTGCCGGTCGTGGCAAAATTCTCGAGAAGTACGTCTATTAAAAAGGGCATTAAGATAGGACCCAGACCAGTTAATGTAACTGAAAAACCCATAGCTACATTGCGTTTCTTGCGGAAATATGTGTTCAGAGCTAATGTTGTCGCTGGAAAAAGAATTCCTTGGCCGATACCTGTTAAACATGTGTTTTGTAACGTTTAACACTATCAGTTTTTTAAAACAATAATAGTGTAATTAATATACAAGAACTTAAATCTCTCAATTATAAAGCAATTTTAGAGACCAACGATAACACAATTATATTACTATCTGTTTTGATAATTGAAATTACTGGAGTACTAAAAGCTGTAATATTGAGTTATTAAATACTGAACCAAAAATACGCAACAACTATGCTTTAAAGATTCCTTCACTTTGCGTATATTATTGCTTTACTCTGCACGAATCCATTTTGCTCAATAGAATACAGTGGCGCTCAATACAAATGATTAAACGATTTGTCATATTACAGTTCTCATTCACGCCTTGATATTTATTGTGTGAATTATTTACCAATGATAACGCAGTAAGTGATAATAAGAGTCGGGAGAGATACGGCAAAGGCAGCGGCGCAGATTCCGATGACGACTGTCAGACTGCCGAAATACGCGACCTGGCGAAAAGCGAATCTCTTCATCATTGGACCGCTTATAAGACCGAGACTGCATGTTATTGTTCCATTAAGATGAAGAATTAGACTCGTTTGCGTCGCAGTGATGCTGAGACTTGCGAAACGTTCTGCGAAGATAAGGCCGAAACATTGCTGGACTGGGAGTACGGCTAGCTAACAAAGGAAATTGCAATTATTCTCGTGAAACTATATCGTTCAAATTTCGTAATATTCGCATCTTCTAGAATATTATCCATTAGGAAATGTTTGAGTAAAAAGATTATAATCTTTTAAGAAAATAAAAATATGAATTTTAAAAAAGAATGACAAAATCTAATCAAGTCTAAATCCATTTTTATTTACACAGGACTTTTATATATGTCTTATAAAAAATAAAATATTATCAAATTTATCATTAAAAATATTACAGATATCGATAGGATGTATACAGCGTGTTTCCTGTAACATAATTATTTAAAATGTTTTCGTTGTTTTTGATGCTACGAGAAAATACTACAGGGGATCTTCAATTCAAAGGGGCACATACTATGATGAGTAAAAAATTTTTCTCATATTTTTTGAGACGTCACCTCTATTTTTTTAAATAAAATTGTAGATTTTTTTTACACAATATACAATTCCTAATTATTCTGCACATAAAAGTATTCAGGTAGTGATATAAAAAACCAATAATTTACGAGATATTTTATACTTCATTCCGGCATATAATATTGACATAAAATATTGAATAACTCGTAAACTATTAATTTTTTGATAATCGTACCTTAATACCTTTATATGTAGAATAATGAGATGAATCAATTGATGGAAAGAAAACACATAGTTACTTATTTAAAAAATTATCCTTTTTTTACACACACACACACACACACACACACACACATATTTTTTTTAAAGCAACTATGTGTTTTCTTTCCACCAATTGATTAATCTCATTATTCTGTTCACAAAAGTATCAAGGTACAATTATAAAAAAATTAATGGTTTACGAGTTATTTAATATTTTATGTCAGTATATGCCAGAATAAAGTATAAAATATCTCGTAAACTATTAGTCTTTTTATATCACTACATTAATACTTTTATATGCAGAATAATTAGAGGAACCGTATTGTGTAAAAAAAATCATAATTCCATTTAAAAAAGTGGAGGTGACCTTGACGTTCAAAAAAATATGATCTTGTGAAAAAAATTTTTTGCTCGTTATAATATGTGCCCTTTCGAATCGAACAATATACCTTGTGATTTTCTCGTATTGTCAAAAACAACGGAGATATTTTAAATGATCAAGTTAGAGGAAACGCCCTGTATATATAAATTTTTGAATGATTTCGTTCATAAATGTTTATTCATTATTCGTTAGAAGATGCTTCAAATTATTAAAACCAATTTTGAGAATAAAATTAAAATTGGAGAATAAAATATAGAATAAAGTTATATATATATATATATAAAGTAACAGGAAATAGTCACATTTCATAATTAAAAAAAAACTTACATTGATAACAGTCACGCCGACGACAATCATCCATGCCCAGCCCCGATCTGTCATATCACTTGCCATTCTATCAATCGTATCAGTTGCTATTCTGCAAATATATCATGAGAGCGTAAATTCCTAGAGATTTTCAATTGCAGCCCGTGTTCGTATCATCGACAAACTGCAAACCTAACTGCTAGACAACGAACACACAATCACAAATTTAATTGGACAGGTGATAAGATATGCGCTGCGGATAAAGCCCCTCTCATTTTGATTCAGTTGTTATGTATATGCATATAATTTATGTATACTAAATTATATGTCTTTTCTTATTAAAAACAGTTGCATTTTTTATTCACATATAAACATATACACATTCACATATTTACGCCTTTTATCGTAACCATGTGATCTATCAAATACTTCTTCAATTAATTAATAAAATAGTGATATTTAATAGCAAGAACGAGCTCACAATTACTCGTCATAATTCAACTCAATTGACTCTACCGACCTTTATTATATCTATAACGAAAAATACAATAACGACTTTGACAAGTGTTGTTTAAATTATAATAATTAATTTTTTAGTTTTGATAAAACTTTATCGGTAAAATTTTTTTGCTTAACAGTTTTTGCAAATTTACTCTACTTATAAGTTGATAACAAAATTGACATCGTTTCAAATTATTTATGTTTCTTAAAAATCTAGTGATTAAAAAAAAGTGCAAATGAAAACAAATGGTTACTTGATCAACTAGTTACTTAAACGGTACAGAAGTAGCATTGAAATAATATGTTTAACTTGTTATTCTGTTTGTTCTTTATTAGTGCCTTGGCTTCTTTATCTGTCTTAATGACTCACAATCAGTTCTCCCTTCTTCTCGTGCGAATTGCTTACTTTGTAATTAAGCAAAAACGTTTAATCGAGTCGTCAAGCCTCTGTGTTAGCAAACAATTATATCGGAGTTTCTTAAGTACAACTGGAAAATTTTTCAATGCCGCAATGTACTATCACAACGTTAACACTCACGGTCAATTTAAAAAATTTATATAAATATCAAACAGGATTTTTTAACATGCTTCGATATGGATATTCGGCGCATAAAGCCAAGGGAAATATGTTCTGGCACGAACTGTGGACGATCCGAGACTGGCCGAAGAGAAAGAAGCGCGATGAAAACCGGCTCCGCTACTGTATTCGAGACCGAGCACGATCATTCGTAATGTTTTTACTCGTCTGAACGCACGCGTGCATGCAGTGCTACGTTGGGGATACTTATTATTTATAGTCGCTTTTGTGAACTGAATGCAAATTAATAAATGTGTCTTATTATGTCTCGTAAGTGCAACGACACAAGCTTGCTATATCACACTTGTGTCATATCAGTCATAGTTCTATCTAGTTTCATTGAAGCACTTTTGTTGTAATTTGATATATAAAAATGCAGCTTTTTCAGAAAAGAGCATAAATAGATATGAAAATAAATATTATTTATGAAATATTTATCAAACGTGTCCAAATTGATAATTTTTTCGGACGACTTTATATAAGAATATAATGATTAGATTCTTTTATTTGTGTACAGAATAATAACTGATTTGATAAGGAAATTTTGCGGATAAACAGAAGAAAAATGAATCTGTTGTACTTACAGAAATACATATAGCGTAGCATCTACGATAGATAAGATATAATTCATCAGAAAGATTACAAATTATGAAATCATTGAGCATTTTTCACATACTTTGATCCATTCTAATGCACAAGGACTATTTTTTTTAATAGAAAACTAATTGTGTTGTAAAAATAAATTATTAATCTAAGAAAAAGTTATTTTGAAAAAGAATGATTTATTTGATTAGTTTTTATGCCGTTTTAGTTTATATACTAAATTAAAAGAATTTAACATAATTAATAAAAATACATTAGATAATTTTATGAGACTACTATATTAAATTGAAAATGTTATTCTGCTGCATTCTGTTGTAATTTCTTAACAATAGCAAGTTGTCTACAAAAGACACGATAAAAAAATTCAATACTCCACACGACAGATGTGACAAGTATCATGGCAGTCATCACGTGAAGACAGATTTTGTAGCTACCGCTGACATCTCTGATGTATCCTTTTTTAACAAAAAATAAAGAATTAATCTACGCGCTATTATTTTAATACATAAGAAACATTATTATCTCGTATATTATTGTAAAAAAACGTTATACCAATTAAAGGACTCATAGTGATTACGCATAAGCCTTTAATCACCATAAAAATTCCAAATGCACTTGGTAGCTTCTTCAAAGTACAACATTCGGATATGCAGAGATTTAAATTCACCAACGTAGCGCCACGTAAAAATCCAGCTATTACTAATGTGACAATCAACGGTGCTTTTTCTGATTGTTCCGCTAATACTGTGTAAAAAAAAGAAATATTACATTTCTCTACTTGCTCATAACTTTCTGTAAAATTGCATTCTATATTAAAGCCTTTATTATTAACCGACTCTGTTTTGATTATAGATAAATATCATATTTCTTTTAATAAAAAAATTACTTTGATAATCAAATATAATTTTAAATGAATATAATTAAATAAAACATATAAATAAATGCTTATTGCAGTAATAAAATTTAATAATAATAGCTCTTTTAAACTTAATGAGAGAATTACTGGAGCGTGTGATTCCAACGAGGAAGCTGGAAATCCAAAAAATTATGCGTTTTTTCCAACCGAATTTGTCGAATAATGTTGGCAACAGCAGCCTAGCGAGGATATCGGCGAATGCAGTCAGGGACAGACAAAAGGCTACCTCCGCTTGTTTCATTCCTGTCATTCGTCAAGTTCCTACGAGTAGTTTATGTAACTCACGAGCAGTGCCGTAGCGAGGATGCTTTCTGAGATCGGTGTCTTTCGAGGTCCCTATAATATTGCTCTAAACAGATTTGTTTATATGCAACGCGAATAACTTTCAATATTTCCATGTTTAGAACACAAGGGAGCTCTTTCAACAAGGTAATACACATCCTTTGCTACGGTACTGATTATATTTAAGTTATACATTTACAACTCTCACCAAGATCCGAGAGAAAGAAAGGAGTCATTAATTTATAGTTTGACTCAGCCACGTAAAAAAAGCTGCAACCTAAAGCGACATTTAAGTAAATGGAATTTTTGAGAAGATCCAAGTCAAAACATGTTTTTAACTTGTTCATAAACGACTTCTTTTGGGGTGAGATTGTTTCAATGTCTGCGATTTGATCTTTGGTCCACATTGACCCATTTGACATCCTTCGTGCTTCAGTATGAACCGATTTCATTAATAAGGCTTCATTCTCTCGTTTTTCATCAGACTTTTTCTAAGAAGAAATATATATGTCTTATTAGAGAGAGAGAGAGAGAGAGAGAGAGAGAGAGATGTTTTAATAACATTATTATAAATGAGTGAATATACATATTTTTTTCTTAGTGATTTAATATAAAAATTCGGGATATCAACAATTCTGAGAATTACTTAATAATTTAATATTTTATGGATTAAAATAATTACCTCGACTGGTGGTGCCTGCGATCGTTTTTTAAGTGGACGTAACAAACATGATCCCACTAAAGAATGTAATGCCCATCCCCCAGCGATAAGAATTGTGCCACGAAATCCATATATGTTCAGCAGCATATGTATTAACTGTACAAATAAATATCTAATTCTAAAATTTTTTTCTTTTCGCAAGTATCTATGTACACTTACCAACGGTACGAACATCATTGCCAACGCGTTCCCTGCCATGGAAAAGCCTACTGCTTGTCCACGTTTTTTGTCAAAAAACGTATTTAATGCGACGAAGGAAGAAGCCGTGGCAAGGCCAGTACCTAGACCTACCGTAAGATATATTATAGTTATAAAATGAATTTTATTTATAAAAATTTGAATGTTTTAAATGACAAAATTATATAATTGGTAGATTCTATAAGTATATATATGTATATATATATATATTTAGATACCTCCTAATACACTATAAGAGCAAATAATATATGGTATACTATTAGCTTGCGATGTAATTATTAAACCACAGCAGCTTAACAAAGATCCAAAAAATGCGACTTGTCGGTAAGAATATTTTTTTAATAATGGACCAATTAAAAAACCTGTAAATTTATAATTATTTTAATAAGAATAAATAATCTCCTTTTTAAAAATGACACAATAATTACAATTTCTGTTGTAAACTGAATGTTACAGAAATCACGTTTTACCTGAAAAATTGACAATGGCATCTAAAACGCCCATTATAATTGATGTCCATGTGGAGTCGACATTAAGATCCTCCAACAGATCTTTAAATAGTAATCCGAATGATGGATCCAAGGATCGCAAAGAGAGCTATAATTTACGTTGTTATTAATAGAATATAACAAATAAGATTTTTCTATGTATATGCATATATATACATATATATACATATATATACATATATGTACATATATATACATATATAATTATTATTATTGCAAATGAGTAAAAGTGACCTTTTATAAATTTAATTTAACTCTATTTTATTTTTACTGTGTGTCTTATATTTCTCAATTCATTTATTAATAAATATACATAGAACTAAAGGACATTTAATAGTTTATAATATAATGTAACGAAAATAAAGATGACAAATGACATAACTGTATTTATGAAATTGAGAAATCTAGGAAAAATTGAAAATTGTTGGAAAAAATTGTAATTCTTTCTACCGTTTTTCCATAATATTTGTACATAATACTGTCTTTTTTAAATAATAAATTTTGTTGCGTCATTTTCTTTGTAACGTAAGTATTTTTATTCATGTTGAACGTTAATAATTCAAACTTATATTACATAACAGTTTAATATAATAATAACTCTGTTAATTTACCGTAATTAGACTGCTTCCAAGACAAACGAACCAACCCCAGCCACCATCTGGAGCTTGTCCTTTAATGTCATTTTTTTTATTTTCTGTCATAATCCAGGGGAACGATTTCTCACACGGTTTACTATAAATTATTAACGTTAAAAAGTACTATCGAAAGCTAAATTGTCAATAATGATCTTTAAATCACATTGTCACACGAACACTTTCTAATCGATACTGATACTGCTCACTAACCGCCAATCGAATACACTTGTCACTGCGTGACTTTCTGTTTCAAACTAAACATCAAATACGCTGTCTATTTACTTCTCTTCACTTGTCTCCCACTCTTGTGGAAGAATACACTGGTCAAGCGGGGGATTTAGAACGAATAATCGTTGTGTGTGTAGTCAATCAAATCGTATATTTGAAACTACAAAGCGATGAATAATATATATATATATATATATATATATAAAAAACAAGCATGTTACGTAACATCAGAGACAAATTATTTTGGTATTCAGCAAATTGATATAGTTATATGACACGCAAGGAGTAATCAATCAAAATTTGGCGAATATGCCGAACAAAAAAAATATCTATCGTATTGTATCACATGTTTAAAAAAGTACACATTTAATATCGATATCTTTAATTAGAAGTTATATTATATGCATTATCATATGTGATCTTATATTCTATGTTATCTAGAGTGAAAGATAACATATGTGTAAGATTATAAATTGTGCAATAAATAAGTTTTATCAAATAAATAATAATATAACAACTACTTAAGTAGCAAGATGATGTCTTTTATATCAATAAGACGTCACTAAACGTCATTTTGCTATTTGAATATACATAAATTAACATTATATTTTATATTATTACTTAAGTATGTGCTATAATGTCGTAATTTTCAATGTCTCTACAAAAACTATATTAAAACATTAGATACTTGATGCGAGGTATATAAATAATAAATGCAATAAAACTTACCGTTAATCATAAAAAATTGATTGTTTTATAAGTTTCTTCGACTACTTCTTGTACCGTTTCATACATTACTCACGCATTACTTATTTCTTACTCAGCAGCACAAATGGTTTTGCGACTTGTCAGACCAAGTAATCTGAGACAGCTGATATAATTGGCAAATAATTGTTAACGTCAGTGTCCACTGTGGTCACAAGCGAATCATTTGCAGTACTAGTCGACCTTCGTTGGTTGGACGTTTTATCTGTATCCACATTGCATATACATGTAGATAGCACTCAAGAGACGATAGGTATACGTTGGGCTTATATATAAAACGTTACCTGCTTTCATCAATAAAATTATTCCAATAATTATAACAAATAATTTTTATAATATCACATGATGAAATATACAATGCAATAAATGTGTTTTTACATTGTAAACTTGTTCAACAATAGAACTAATTATTATAAAATTGGAAGATATTTCTTTGAAAGATAACAATAAATTAAGTTCTATATTTATGCCTCACTTTTCTTGATAAATGCGCTCATATATATAGTTTATGTTACACATGAGTTTCAGAAAAAATGCGTACATTTTTATCAATAAAAGAAAAAGTATAAATATGAATCTTAATTATTAATATTATGAAATCTCTGTGCTAATATGCATTAATTAATACTATAAAAATACGATAGTAAGTACGCTTACAATTATATTGTGACATTCGCTGATACAAAGCAAATTACGCCTTAAGTTATGCAATTACGAGGTATGTGATGTAAGATGAGTAAACGTTGCACAGGTGCAGTTTACTTTAGTTTTTCTGTAATATTATATATTGATAGTACCATTTCTTACTTTAAACAGGATTGGATAAGTTAGCTTTTTTTTTTAACTAAATTAAGTTAAAGTTAATAGCCTTGAAAATTTAACTTTATTAAAATACAAGTTAATCCATAATGAAATTAATTGAATTAAAAGTTAAGTTAATAAAAAAAGTAATTGAAAAGTTAAAAATTAAATTTAGTCCGAACGGACAACTAAAAAAAAGAAAAAGAAAAAGTTTGACCATTTGACATAATTTTTTATATTTTTTCTTTCTCACAGCATATTTATTAAAGAATCTGGTTATTTTTGTTCACAAGTAACGATTATACAATATAAAATTACTAAACTATGTGCTCATTATTCTCTCGCATTGTGTCTGAAGATTAACTTAAAAAAAATCAAATTAAAAGTTAATAATTACCGATAAAATGTAACTAAATTAAGTTATAAAGTTAAGAGTCTAAAATGTAACTAAGTTAAGTTAAAATTAATTAACTTTTTAACTTTTTAACTTAACTTTTATCTTTTTAATTTAGTACTATCCAACCTGATTTTAAAATAAAATAGTTGTTGTATATATCATCAAATTAAATATTATTTTATATATACATATATATTGTATATATACATATATTCATATACATTGCATACAGTGCATTTGATACGCGTGTGCAATACATTCTTATGTCTAATGTGCTGTGTGCAATATGGCCATATAAGCAATGAGCTGTATATTATAGACGTGTGTGTAAACAAAGTTGTAGGCAACTATTTTGTAGGCAAATCTTGACGCAAACGGAGTCCTTTCGCTATTAGTAGGTAACTGATGACTAATTTTACAAAAGTTTGTCAGGTTTTTTTGTTCTTCAATTGAAATTCAATTCTTAAATATCAGTTTCTTAATAGACAAAGGAAATTCGTTTTTGCAGATTTGAACCGATTTGGGTTAATGATGCATTGCATGCTTTACTTGGTATATATTCACAATTATGTATTTTTTTTCACAAGAGTGGAAATAGAAATAAGTGAAGAAGAGTAAATAGACAGCATATTTAATGTTTAGTTTGAAATAAAGTCACAAGTGACCAGAATATTTAATTGTAACGTCAACTAATATTAGAGCATGTGACAAAACGCTATTATTATTATCAGTCATTGATAAGTTTTCAGTTCTGGAATTCGCTGATAACTTTTCAAATATTCATTTTTTAAATTTTTTAACCAAATTTTTTAAAATAAAAATTCTTCAGTAACTTCCATTCATTTAGATGCTATCTAGGTATTAATTTACTATCATAAATTTATATACGCTTTCTTTCACAATATTTTGTTCAATTATAAACTGACAAACTGGCGAAAAACTGAAAATTAATCAATACTAATGAAAGCACTCAGTGTCTAACAGTTTTTTAGAATGCTATAGAAACTGATTATTAAAACTAGCTGTCAACTGATGATCATTATCAGTAACCGACTTCTTGTAATCAGTCATTACAGAACATCATATGTTATTGTACAAGAGGCGCCGACAGGTGGATGCAGCGGAGTTTAATTTTTCGTGAGTAAGAATTATACAGGATAGAATGAAAAACGTAATATTATAAGATCTTTCACCATAAAACCGCGCTTATCTGACGTACATCTTTGAATGTTATGTACATTGTAAATCACACAGTAGTAGCCGCAGATTTCTTATCTGTCATATGCAAGTTTACAGAAATGGTGAACTGGTAACAACTGGACAATAACTGAGCGAGGATAATTGATCATCTAACTGATGATTAAACTGGACAGCGCATTTTATTAGTTATGGATCAACATAAAACTTGACAAATATTGACGAGTTTTTTTATTAGTAACTAGTAAGTCTATTTTAATATACCAATTGTACTGTCATTAGTTACAATGAACAGTTAGTCATCAGTTATTTATCAGTAACTTATTTTCATATACACTATAATTTTCATTAATGATTAGTTTTTTTATCAGTTTTGACTACATTTTTCTCAAGAGTTATACTTCTTAAAAAATATTATTACTTAATAATTATTTAAAATTTTCTATTTTAATCTTTTATTTTGTCAATACTTTTGTACATAACTTTTACAAACTTTTCTACAAAATTAGTATAATAAAAGCTTCTTTTACCTGTATACATACTGTTATATTTTTTAAGAAATGAACAAAATCAAAGAGTATTTATAATTAAAAAAATTGTTTATTTTCTAAATCTTTGATAATTTGTTCCGTTTAAATTTGTTTTATTGTTACATTTAAAGTAAATTCTTTAAGTTACTCATATTTATTGTTGATTAATAATTAGCTATAAAGAATGACGTCTCTTATTATTGAGAATTCAATGACAGTTGAATTAATTGAAGCATTTACGAAGATCAGCAAATATATAAGACATTATGTTTACCTCTACTTTTTCTTTTTTCATGAGATTACGTATTTACAGATGCTACAGTGCTAATATTTCACTCTGGCTTAAGAATGGATGTTTAATACGATGACACTTCTACTACGTAGATAAGAAGACTTCGAAATCGTTTCTGGCATGCCTCGCTTAGTCGGAAACTGTCTACCTTTGATTATCGTGTTCGAAATTGTTGACGTGTTTTAAATTTATCTATCTATTCTCTCTGCTAGTCCGCTAGGTAAATACTTAAATCTTATCTTCAAATCCGGTACAATAAAAATAGTAAAAATATAGTTTGATCTGATTAATCTATTATATAATCTAATATATAAATGTTGAATGAAGGATCTATTGTCATAAACAAATTACATCCAAATAATGCTAATAAAGATATAATTATTATAATTAATCTCATGTTACAATATTTCTGTTAAAAAAATTATTGCTCAAATATATTTCATATCAATATATTAACATGAAATCTTTATTTTGTTTGGAAAACTTTTATTTTTTTTGTATGACTAAAAGAAGATATACCGAATTCAATAAAATAAATTAATATCTTTAACAATATTAGACAAGTATATTTACAACTGTAATACACAATAAAAAAGAACTAAATGTGCTCAAATGAATCAGGGAAGCGATTATTGCAACATGACAGAAGTCAACAGCACGATAGATACATCCACTACCAACAACGCTATCGAAAAAAAAAATAGCATAACTGGAAAGGTAGAAGAACTGATAAATGAAGAGGATGAAATTACTCTAGAAGATTTGGCGCCAGACGGTGGCTGGGGATGGATGATTGCACTAGCCATGATATTAATTATGGTCAGTTTAATAATAATGCATGGTAGATATGTAGTATTGTTCTCTCTTTCTCTCTCTCTCTCTCTCTCTCTCTCTCTCAACACACATTGAGCTATTGAAATAGATACATTACTCTTCAAATAATATTTGCTTAAAAATCATTTCAGAACTTTTCTCAACACGAATTTGAAGAATTTTGCATGTAGATATGTAATAAAAAATTAATAACATTCTTTTTCTCGCTGTTCCAGTTCACTACAACAGGCCCAATGTCATCATTTGCTATAATCTTTGGTGATTTCCTTGAAGATTCCGGACAGGCGGGCATGGCATCGAGCCTCTTTAATTCCGTCTTTATGGTCACTTATTCTATTGCCAGTAAGTGCATGTAACATATTCAATAATTAAAATTAAAGAAACGATTAATGTAAATTACATTTGCACAGTTATTAATATTAATTTCTATATAAATTTAATAGGAACGATTTGTAAATAGTGAATTTGCAAAATTGTATACTTTCTGCATTATTCATTTCTTTGATATAAAACTTTTTTCGAAAGAAGAAAATACATTCTATGATAAGAAAATTAAGCTTTCAATATAAATCTCATTTTTCTGCTCTTAGCTTTCTATCTCAGTTTTCTGCTCTTTCGGTATCAGTTAAGTCAATTAAGTCATCAGCTTCTTGTTGCAAGTTTTACCACTAACACTTTCATACGAAGAATTAAATCGAATGACATGTGATTAAAATTTTGAACCGGCACATAAACGCGATTATAATGCATATGTTTCCGACACACAAGGAAAATCACAAGGAACATTTGAATCTACTAAATATAGTCCAATTTTTGCTTATGAAAAAACACTCTTTTCCGTTATTATGTATATTCTTGATATATATATTGTAATTATCAACTTAGAACATTATTTCTAGTGAAGAAATATACTTAGAGCATTATTTCTAGTGAAGAAATATACTTTTACTGTCAATGGAGGTCTTAACATTGAAAGCTCCAAGATACTAAATTTTATTATAAGTTAAATAAAGTCCTTGAATAAGAAATTAAATAGAATTTTACATCTAATTTTTATTATTATATAAGTAAATTTATTTACATCATTAGTGTAAAATATTTTTATAATAAAGAACGCGAAAATATTTACTCTCGTGTCGGAAAAGGCCGGCAACCTCCCGACAGTATATACATCCTTGCCCACAGAAACATCTCTCGAAAAATTCGCTGTTCGGAACAGTATAAAAACTGTAGGTCCCATATGGCAATTGAATAATCAGCGTGCACAAGCATATGAAAGAGGTAAACACAGGCCAGAGACCTAACGTAAGAAGCACACACACAGAGAGAAGAAGAAGTTCTTGATAATATATAAAATAATATATTCTACAAAATGCAGATGTTTGCAACTTAAACATAATGTATAATTAATAGTTAGTAAAATATGATATAAATAATAAATAATAAATCTTGTTATAAAAATTATTCAAATATTTAATTTGCAGGCTTGCTCACCAATACATTGTTGAAGAGATATTCTACAAGATCGGTCGGAATTGTAGGTGTACTCTTCTTTGCGTTACCTAATATCGTCATAGCCTTCGTCAGAAACATATACGAGATGGCTTTTATCTGTTTTATTGAAGGTTTTGGATTGGGCCTAATTTTTACAGTTACCAACACAGTTTTCAACTCGTACTTTGTAAAGAAAAGAGCAAAAGTAAATCAATTAATGTCTAATAATTAAATGTGTTTAAAAACGTTGAATTCTTTCAACTTATTAAAAAATTTTCTCTTGCCTTTAGGTAATGTACGCGTCGCAAGTCATTATTGCGTTGGGCGGAATTATTTATCCTACATTAAGTGAAAAGATGCTATCAATCTACGGTTTTCGCGGTAAGTGTCACAAAGATAAAGTTTTCGAGATTTGTTATTATTCATTTTTGTTTGGTACTTGTGTTAGGTACTGCGGCAATAATAGGCGCTCTAAGCCTTAATGGCGTCGTTGGAATGATAATGATGCATCCCGTGGAATGGCATGCCAAGAAGCTGGAAGATGTTCGTGCGGAAAAAGCGCGCGAAAAGGAACAAAACATTTCTCAGGAATTGGCACTGTCGAATCGTCGTTCAACTATTGACGTGGTCCACTTATCTTTTAAGACTAAATGGAACAGTCTTTGTAATCTCACGGAAGAAAGAGGCTCAGAAATGCCATTGCTAATTGAAACTGTTAAGGTGACAAAATTCAGTAAACCTTAAAATCCCCATTTTACCTTGTCAGTCAAATTTTAATTTTTCTATATTATTACATTTGAACAATATTAAGATAGTGATAAGTGAAAATGAACCGAAAAATGTTCAACATAAATGACCAAAGAAAGCTATATAATTTTGTTTACAAGGCTTCTGCGCAAAGAGTTGCATCAGTCTCAGCAATTGAGAGTCGCGAAAGAGCAAAATCAGGATCTATATGGGAAAGTTCATCGAGGCGTACATCGACTATCTCAGCTTCTAGCTTAGTTAATTTGGCGACTCGCACGACTTGTATATTGAGCGATATACGACAACTTCATCTGGAAAAGAAGACCAGTGAAAGACAGACAGATAAAGAAAATCAGGGGAAAGAAGAGAAACAAAATAGAGAAATCAACGAAAAAAAAGAAAAACAAAATGAAGTTCAGGAAGAGGAGGAGAAACAAGATAAAGAAATCCAAGAGAAAGAAGAGAAGCAAGATACTGAACAAAAAATGTTAAAGTAAACATACAACTATTAACAGCTATTTGCATAATTGAATATATAATTTATACGTCTCAAGATTTTAGGCAGTCCTGTTATTAATTGGTATTTTATCCTTTTACATAGGGCGTTTCAAAATTCGTGCTCACTTACAAGACGTGATACTTTATGCGAAAAGAATAACTTTTTCTTTTTGCAAAATTGCGTCCGACGAGTAGTTTTGCAAGAGAGCAGATTGAAGTTAATAAATAAGCGCAAAAATTATTTATTGGACGAAATTTTGTTACAGGAAAAAGTTGTTCGTTTTAGCATAAAGTATCACGTTTTGTACTTCGCGGGCGCGAATTTTGAAACACCTTGTATATCTCTACAATTCAATAATTGCAATTTATTTTTCATGATATATCATAATGGCTACGTTTACACCGTGCGCTTAGTCCGCGACCTATACGATAGGTGTCTTTGTTTAATATACAGGATAAACAAAGACACCTATTGTATAGGCCGCGGCCTAAATGCACGGTGTAAACGTAGCCAATATATAATTCCACCTTTATAATTTACACTTTGATTTATCTTGACATGAAAGGTATAAAACCATTTTGAGAGAACTTGTGGATATGTCCTTGGTGAAGAACGTCTATTTCATAAATTTATGCTTTGGCGTCAATTTCGTGTGCTCTTCCGACATTGGTTTTATTTATCTTCTTCCAATTATAATAACCGATGCAGGACACTCAAAAGACTACGCCGAAAAGCCTATGCCGCATTGAGTGTCACAATTAGTGGAATAGGTGAGCTGGCGTCAAAAATTTTATTGTCAGTTTTTACACTGATGATAAACATAAAATCGAAGTATATATTCTTTGTCGCCACAATCTTGATGGGATTCGCAAGAATAGGTAAGTATATTTAATCCTATAATTGAGTAAATAAATTATCGTTAATTTTTAGTTTCTAAAATGGTATATAAAACTCACATTGTATAGGTTTTTTGCTGTATGAGCATACACTTGAAGGCGCGTTAATTACGATAGCATTAATCGGCGTCGTACGATCGTGGCTGCTAGTTTCGCAACCTTTAGTTATCATAGAAGATCTCAACATAGAAAAATTTGCCTCGGCTTACGGGATCAATTCTGTTATCAGCAGTTTAATTACGACAATTTTTGGTGCCATCGTAGGTAAGTTGAAAAAGACTGTTATACAATTTCTAATCTGTAACATAACGTTGTACGTATGTTTTATTGCAGGAATTATTAAGGATTGGACTGGTAGCTACAAAATGTATCAAATTTCTCTACTAGTAACGAATAGTGTATTTATTTTACCTTGGATATTGCAATTCATTTTCGTAGACTTCAGAAAATGGCGGAAGCAATGCACGCAGAAGGCTAACACCATGAGCCATCAGTGGGAATGAAGAAATGTGGACATCTCAAGAATTAATGACCTGTATTGATCTATTTTTCTCAAGTGTATTTTTGCTTTTTCTTCATTAAAACGTTTAGTATTTTTAATTATTCTTGATGTACATGGTGCATATCAATATTTTTATATAGTATTATTTTTTTATAATAAATATTTTTAGAAAAATTAGATTTAAATTTTTATTTAATGAAAATTATACGGAAAATTACAAAGATAGCTTATAATATTTTTAGAAAGAAACGCGAGAGATGTATATTATTGAAATTGTAAGATGGAACATGATTTTTGTTACAGCACTTTATTTGCTCAAAATTATATAAAGTAGATTAATATTAATTTTATAAGTATTGGTATTCTAAATTATTAACTCTTAAAATTAATAAAAGATTAAAAATTATGAAATGTAGGCGTAATCACTTTTCTATGTTTGTTGCCTGTTGTGATCAGTAAATCATCTCTAAGCCAAAGTTTTAACAATCTACAATGGAGATAAAAAGAGGATCATTTAATTACTTCCAGCAATATCATTAAGCAACATCTTATAATAAATGACAGAACATATCCAGATAGCCAAGTCTGTCAAGATCAAGTATTACTATTTGTGCGTTACATAATATTATGTTGGCAGAACTCGGGCAGTACCTGAGCATGATCTGCCGTCACAGTTAGTGTTAGTAAAAATGTAGCAGAAAACGAGCAGTTCCCGTATCAACATATATTATTAAAAATCCTATAAAAATTATGCAGAAATTCTTGGTATAAAAACAGTGCATTTTGAACATTGCATACTGACGATAATCATCAGAAACTAAACCAAACTTGAGCATAACGTGATATCATCATATTATACTGGCAAATGTTGCCAGAAATCAAATTTATCTGCTTGCACGGCATGTAAAAGCATGGCAAAAATCAAATAAGTGCTGCTGTCTTAAAAAATAATAGCAAAAGTACAGCAGAAACACGGCATGGAAATGTTATATCGGACCATAGTTCTTCCGTTTACCCCCCCCTTCCCCGGCGCCCGACTATCTATCAATATTTACCTCATATTTAAATAAAAACCGCTATTATTATTATCAATAGTTTTATTATGATTATCAATAGTGTGAGATGCATGAAGGACAGGAGATGGAATCGATTAAAGGAAGTAAAACCAAAAGAATTCTTTAGAAGAAACAGTTATATTTTAGATGTGAATCGCTCGCAGTCGCACATAAGTCTGACGTAATCATGACGCGGTGTGCCGAGCGACCCTCTACCTTAAGTCTGCTCGACAACGAAAAACGATTACGAAACGCCATCTTAGAACGATCGCTCGACTCAAAGGCGCCTCTTAGGGGCTCCGCACAATAAAAGGAACAGGGAACAGAGAACAGAGAATAAGAATTTCACTATTAGAAATTATGTATTGTGGAATACACAGTTTCTGATAGGTTGAAATTCTTATTCTCTGTTCTCTGTTCCCTGTTCCTTTTATTGTGCGGATTTTTTATTGTGCCCCTTACAGTCCGGGCATCCTGACGTCATGGTCGCCTCGACCATCTTCGCTGTTAGAGACACTATAATAAGAGACTGGCATAGATGGGCTAATTTTTGATTGGCTAGATATGGAATGGCAGAAGCCAGTCAAAAGTCGTGCTGGTAATAAATGATAGTACAGTCTGAATTCTGATTGGCTTCTGCTTTCCTACTTTTTCTGCTTTTCCGTCCTAGTTGCGAACGCGTCCTATGATTTATCGTCCTGTGAACGCCATTTTCTATCCAACTAGAACTTATGCCAGTCTCTTATTATAGCGTCTCTACTTTGCTGTCTGAATCATGTTCGCTTCCTTCCGGTGTTACTACTCGTCTCTTATATAGCTTCAACCGTTCTGGTCCGAACACGCCAGTAAAAGGACGCTGAGTTAATTGAAATCCTTCTACATCCTTAATAACATATCTATCGCGATCTAGGACCGAGTCCACGACGTATGGCTCTTTGTACTTGGGAGCTAATTTCTGATTAATGCCAAGCGTCGTTATGACATTCTTAACCATTACATGGTCGCCAGCATGGTATACAATAGGTTTTTTGTGCTTCGCATCGTACATTTGTTTATTATAGTCTTGTAACGCACGCATTTTTACAATAGCTTTCTCTCGAAGCTCGTTTCGGTCTTTATCTAAATCCTGAATCGCATGAAAGTATTCTTTAAGACTGTTATCTGTGAAACCGTATTGCTCATTACCGAACAACAGCAAACTAGGTGTTGTACCTATCGCCTTATGCAATGTACTGTTTAAAGAGAATTGACTTTTGACTATGAAATCAGTCCATTTCCCTTCTGACGATAATTTAGAAAAGATGGAGCGCAAGAAACGGTTAATCCGTTCTACCTGCCCATTATTCTGAGGACTGGTGATTGCCTTTAACATGTTCGACGTTTAACGGTCTTAAATAATTGGCAAGTTCATCGGACTAAAGAACTTCCACGATCAGAAACGATTCGCTTACATATTCCGAAATGACGGAAGTATTCTTTTAGACAAACGATTACTTCCTTTGTCGCTGTTGATTTGACCGGATATATTACTACATACTAAAAGCATCACACACACACACAATTATAATGAAGATGTGTTTAAATCCATGCCCCACTTTCTCGTGAGAACCATAATGATCGATGTGTAGTATTTCGAATGGTCTGGTACCTTTATCATAAATGTAAAGTTTACCTTTGACTTTTCCTGTTGGTACGGAATATGTTAAACATTTAACGCAATTCGAAATATAATCTTTTACACGGGCACGCATTCCGGGAAACCAATAAGTTTTACTAATTAGATTAATTGTTTTCTCAGGCCCAACATGGCCCACTTCGTCATGGCATATGCGTATCATTCCTTGTGTCATCGCATCAGGAACATAGAAAAAGATTTCGCCGTTACGCTTCCTGAATACAATTTCATTTCTTAACTCGAATCCACTTATACTTTCGCGCGTCTCTAAGTCTTCTTGGATTTTTCTAATAACAGGGTCTTGCATTTGCCTATACATTAAAACTTCATCAAATGAGAGCGGTCTATTGCTAAGATGCTACGACTTAATGCATCTACATGTCGCATGCGGTCAGATGTACGATGTTCAATTGTATAGTTATAGCTTTGTAATATCATGCACCATCTACTGATGCGCGGATTGATGTTTTTTTTACGCAAAGCTAATTGTACTGCACTGCAATCGATCACCATCACGAAGAGTATGCCCTGTAAGTAAACTCGGAATCTTTCGAGAGCGTAAACGATAGCCAATGTTTCCAGCTCATAGCTGTGGTAATGATTTTCAGCGGCCGTTGTCCGTCGGCTATAATACATAACGGGGTGCATGTGGCCATCTTGTTGACGTTGCATCAATACAGCACCATAACCATAAGAACTGGCTTCCGTATGTAATTCAGTATGTACACCCACGGTAATTGATTCTGTCCCTCGAAAATTTTCACAAAATGAGAAGTGACCACCTTTCTATATTAATGTTCACAGTCTATGCACGATTAACGATACGACTAAACCTTACGTCCGCTTACTACCACATTTGTTATAAAGACGAAATTACCTGAATTTTTGGGAGTTTTAAATAAGTAAATACAACAGAAATATTGTAGCTTCCTGGAGGCTTGCTGAATAATATGTGCGTTTTCTCCACGCCAAGATCCTTTTGCCACTGTCTTTTCCTCGGAGATATGGGATAAAAATACTAAAATAGATAATCACGGAATTATTGATTCAAGATTCGAAACAATATTTAAATGTAAAATAATAAATTATAAATACCATATAGATATATGATCCTTTCAAAACATTAAAATATAACCAATTGTTCTTACAATTTACCATATTCTGCATGTTGTTGAAAAAATTTCGTTCACATCTGCTGTACTTATATATTTACTTATTTAAAACTCCCGAAAATTCAGTTATTCCGTCTTTATGACAAATGTGGTTGTAAGCGGACGTAAGGTTTAGTCATATCCAAGAAGACTAGAACTAAGGAGGATCAACACGCGTGGTGGGGGTGAGTCAAAAAACGCCTTCAGCTATTCACACGATGTGCAGCGGCACTGCTCATTGTGTGAAAGTTCGATATAAGAGCGACAAAGTGACGATTATAGAACGACAGAGAGGACTAATGAAGCGCAAGAGTGGGGGAAGTTATCCGTCGCCACTTTTTGCCTCACCCCCACTACCGCTATTGGCACGAGTTGATCCTCCTTAGTTCTTCTTGGTCGTATCGTTAATCGTGCATGGACTATGAACATTAATATAGAAAGGTGTTCACTTCTCATTTTGTGAAAATTTCCGAGGGACAGAATCAATTACTGTGGGTGTACTCGGGGATTATATAAAGCTAATACGGGGTGACTGGACAACTTTTCTTGTAATCTCAAATTTATAAGGGAATTCCTCAGTTTTACCTGTAGAACAAAGATGAGTATTCGATTTTTCCCTGATTTCATAAGACAATGACGCATCTAACTTGTCAGAAACGATATCTAGCGAACTCGCTTGTTCGATTGCTTTAACATTCAATATGTCGCCAATAAAATTATTCTGGATTATCCGCAAAGGTTCATCTAGTGTAACCGATATGTCGGACATACGCGTAAATTCATGACCTAACAGAGCGTCATATGTCGTGGTTGAGTCCGGAACGATGACAAATTTTACCAAGAATACACGATCAGGTAATAAATGTAACCGAATTTTAGTAGTAATTGTTCCGAGGATATACGAGGGTCGTCTGAAAAGTTTTGAGCCTAACATAGAAACAAGTAATTTTTCGGTCAAATTTAATTTTATTTTTCCACATAGTCTCCTTTTAAGTCGATACATTTTTTCTAGCGATGCTCCCACCCCTTTAATCCATTCAAATAATACTGAGCGTCTTGCTTTGCAAAATAGGCGTCTACGGATGCGATGACCTCGTTCGATGAAAATTTCTGTCCTCCGAGCCAA